GCAAGATAATTTAGTGGGGCGTGGGTGGTAAGAACGGATGAGGGTGTGGCTTCTCCTCATTTAAACCATGCCCAAAAGAGCAATCTGTGCCATGGAACACAGAAGCAAATCCTATTTTCTTAGAAAAATGTTTTTATCAGCAAAGGGAAGAGCCAGAAAAAAAAACTGCTCCAGCGTCTGGCTCATATGAGCCAAGGTCATTCAGGGAGATTGGGAGTGTGTTGTGTGTAATTGTGTGTCTGTGTTGTTGTAGATGGACACCAAGGGGCTGCTAAAAGGACACAGGCATCATCAGACACTTCTCTTGCATTATGAAACACCACTCTCTCTCCCTCTGATGTCAGAAGTAATTTTTCTTTCAGAGTCTTCCGAGCCGTAGGGGAGACAACTTTTACTTTGTAAACCCAAACCGTTCATGAAAATTGGAAATGGTGAACATTATCTTAGGCTTTGATACTGTACAAACCCCTCCTTTTAGACTTTTTAAACCCAGCAGGCATGACTTGAGTAGCAGCATCTCTCAGGTTGGCGAGAGAGAACAAAGCACTTTCTATTAACTTCATAGTCAGCTATCTATTCTATTTCCAGCCAGATCAAACATTAAGGCCTCGGTTCTCAGATCTATCCTCACTTGATTGGAGTTTTTTTTGTTCAAACAAGCTTTTGATAATGAGTCAGATCACCTGTTAATGGGATTAGCGCAGATTACCAGATTAAATAGGCTTTTCACACAGACAAGCCTGAAGGCTTTTCTCCTCCCAGCAGGCTTTCATCACCTCTGCTGGAGTGCCGAGTGAGGTGAGAGCGCAGAACCACAGGTCTAATATAACAGGATGTGAGTGATGAAACAATGGAATCAAAGCAGGCAGAAAACGGTTTTCTACACAGTGCAGAAGTTGTCAGGACACATTGTGACTCTACTGTGTCACAAACATACTAAAGCAAGCAGCAGTGTTGTTCTGTTCGGTGACGAGGCATTTTGTGACATTAAAACAATATTTTTGTTGTGTTGGTTTTGCTGTTTTATCATTGTTACTATAATGGATCCTTTTGGGGACCATGAATGTGTTCAGCAAATTTAGTTGTTAAAATAGTTACTGATATCAGGAGTTCACCAAAATCAGTCGGATTAATCCTTTGGGGAGCATGAATGTTTGTACAAAATGTCATAGCAATCCATCTAATAGTTGATACTTCAGTCTGGACCAAAGCAATGTATACTATACAGGTGCTGGTCATATAATTAGAATATCATCAAAAAAATTATTTATTTCAGTAATTCCATTCAAAAAGTGAAACTTGTTTAATGTATATTCATTCCACACAGACTGATATATTTCAAGTGTTCATTCCTTTTCATTTTGATGATTATAACTGACAACTAATGAAAACTCCAAAATCACTATCTCAGAAAATTAGAATATTGTGAAAAGGTTCAATATTGAAGACACCTGGTGCCACACTCTAATCAGATAATTAACTCAAAACACCTGCAAAGGCCTTTAAATGGTCTCTCAGTCTAGTTCTGTAGGCTACATAATCATGGGGAAGACTGCTGACTTGACAGCTGTCCAAAAGACGACCATTGACACCTTGCACAAGGAGGGCAAGACACAAAAGGTCATTGCTAAAGAGGGTGGCTGTTCGCAGAGCTCTGTGTCCAAGCACATTAATAGAGAGGCGAAGGGAAGGAAAAGATGTGGTAGAAAAAAAGTGTACAAGCAATAGGGATAACCGCACCCTGGAGAGGATTGTGAAACAAAACCCATTCAAAAATGTGGGGGAGATTCACAAAGAGTGGACTGCAGCTGGAGTCAGTGCTTCAAGAACCACCCCGTACAGACGTATGCAAGACATGGGTTTCAGCTGTCACATTCCTTGTGTCAAGCCACTCTTGAACAAGACACAGCGTCAGAAGCGTCTCGCCTGGGCTAAAGACAAAAAGGACTGGACTGCTGCTGAGTGGTCCAAAGTTATGTTCTCTGATGAAAGTAAATTTTGCATTTCCTTTGGAAATCAAGGTCCCACAGTCTGGAGGAAGAGAGGAGAGGCACAGAATCCACGTTGCTTGAAGTCCAGTGTAAAGTTTCCACAGTCAGTGATGGTTTGGGTGCCATGTCATCTGCTGGTGTTGGTCAACTGTGTTTTCTGAGGTCCAAGGTCAACGCAGCCGTCTACCAGGAAGTTTTAGAGCACTTCATGCTTCTGCTGCTGACCAACTTTATGGAGATGCAGATTTCATTTTCCAACGGGACTTGGCACCTGCACACAGAGCCAAAGCTACCAGTACCTGGTTTAAGGACCATGGTATCCCTGTTCTTAATTGGTCAGCAAACTCGCCTGACTTTAACACTATAGAAAATCTATGTGGTATTGTGAAGAGGAAGATGCGATACGCCAGACCCAACAATGCAGAAGAGTTGAAGGCCACTATCAGAGCAACCTGGGCTCTCATAACACCTGAGCAGTGCCACAGACTGATGGACTCCATGCCACGCCGCATTGCTGCAGTAACTCAGGCAAAAGGAGCCCCAACTAAGTATTGAGTGCTGTACATGCTCATACTTTTCATGTTCATACTTTTCAGTTGGCCAACATTTCTAAAAATCCTTTTTTTGTATTGGTCTTAAGTAATATTCTAATTTAATTAAAGTCTGTGTGTAACTTCCAAGTTTCACTTTTTGAATGAAATAAATCAACTTTTTGATGATATTCTAATTATATGACCAGCACCTATATATACTAATCTCATAGTATATGAAACCTATGACTTGCTTCTTATATTATGACTTTGTCTCATAATTATATATGTATGTAATTAAGTATGACTTATTATCTCTTATTATGCCTTAGAGTTCTAATAATTATGGCTCAAAGTAAAAGTTTATTAGAAAAAAGTTATGACTCATAATTCACTGTTTTACACTGCTGTTCATACAAAACAAACAATTTGAAGATGTCACTTTAGGAAATAGTGATTTCAATGTTCTTGGACAGAACTTACATAAATACAGTATATCCAAGTATACAGTGCTTTTTTAAGATTAGGTCACTGATCCTTCTCTTTGGGTTTTGTTTCTCTGCAGGCACATGTTGAATGTAACCTGGGAACACAATGACTTCTCCTTCAACAGTAACGGTTACCTGGTGAATCCAGCCATGATAATTATCACTTTGGACAGAGAGAGACAGTGGGACAAGGTGAGCTTTTCATAAGATGGTGACAGATATTTCCTTTACACAGGATTATGTGTGTACACACTGAACGTATTTTTGTGTGATGATTACTGAATGCACAAAATCATGACTGAACTCATAGAATAAGAAACCAGAAGAGCTGTTCTGCAGTTTCATTTTCTCTTTCACTGACTTTCTCTGCATGCTAAAAGCAGAGTGATTTCATACATCACCGATCTCTTTGTAAAGACTAGTTAGAGGAGTCAGAGCTCTATTGATACCAATGAACCACTTAATTAAGGATCATCTCCTAATCATACACACACACAGTCCTACGTTTTACACACCCCTCTCTCACTAATGGCAACCCTCCATCTCTTTAAAAGATATTAACAGAAAACCCACACAGGCACTTTTGTTGGGTAACTTTGCTGCAGCTCACTGACGTTGGTTGAAGAATCAAACATTAATTTAACCACAGGGGGGAATGTGATGTGGACACCAGACTGGAGGGAGTTCACTTCCTGCACTGGTTGAATAGAAGGTGTTTAGTTAAACATTATGCTCACAGTAAACAGCCGCAGGCGTCTCAAAGCTAATTATGTTATATTGATGTTTTTGGCCGTTCCGTCCTATTAATTTCCAATATGTTATCAAGGCTCTGAGCTAGTAGGGAGTTGTGATGGTAAAATGCAAACTATTTGGGTATGAAAGCAGGCAGAAGATATTTGTGTATGAATTTATCGGACTAGAACCCAGGGCCTCTGCAGCAAGGACTCAGTGGGGCATGTGCACTAGTGGTGAGCAAACCTGCACCCACTAAAGATTATTTAATTTATTATTTGATTATCCACTATAATATCACAATCAATCACAAATTCCCAGAGCCCTAAGACTAACTTTCAAATTGCTTGTTTTGTCTGACCACCAGTCCAGACCAAATTGTTTAGTATACAATGTAGGGCTGACCCTGAATAGTCAAAGATTCGATGCTTCGATTGGCGGAGCCTGATTCGACTGTCAATCTCACAGTCGAAGCTTCGCAGCGAAACGAGGATCACGCCATTTTGGCTATATGGGGGTGCTCAACGTCTGATTTTACATAGAACTACCAGTTTTCTCCCAATAAATTAATATACAGAGTGTTACAATATACATTTCAACATTTAATGCTGTAAATAAACATGTAAAAAGAATAAAAACTTTCATTAAATGTTTTTGAAGTGTGTGAATAAATTAAAAATTGTAACCCTAACCCTGGCTCGTCAGTGCGCATGTGTAGGCGTAGCATGTGTGTGTGTGTGTGTGCAGTGGCAACACTTG